TCCGGGGTGTCAGAGTCATCCGGCGCGCCCTTTCGCGGCACAGCGAGCACTTCGCCTGGCAGACACCGATGGCTTGGGCTCGAAAAGCGAGATGAATTGAGCAACTGAAACGAAAGCAGCGGCAAAATAGGGCTTCATCTCCCTGTTTGTCCTCCTAAGCGTGTCACATAGGGTCAAACCATGCAACCCCACAAATACATTCGTGCAACCTTTGGGATTCCAGGTTGCTGCTTGGTCTGTCTTGCTTTTTTTTGTGGTTTTGGCAGGGTCAGCAATGATTCGGGGAGGTCTGATATCTTGCAGAGTCAATGACTTGTTTTCGCCGGGTGTGAGGCTTGTTTCGCAGTCGCACTTTGATTTGGGGTAGTGTTGGGTTGGTGTTCCCCTGGTTTGGTGGTCGCAACCACACCAGCAAAACAAACAAACTGAAAGTCCAAAAAGCGAGCCTTCGACCTGGATCCTCCAGCCCACAAGAAATCGAACGGGTTCAGCCACACACACCAACCCCTGTTGCCTAACACAACCCTAAACCACACAATAAATCTGCCGTAAAGCAACATCAATGAAGCAAAGATCCAGCCTGTGGACCAACCAAGCAGCCACCAACCAAGCAGCCAAGCAACCAAGCAGCCAAGCGGCCAACCAACCAAGGCCTCTGCCAATAGCTCCATGACCTACACTGTTAAGCGGACATGTATACTATACCCAATGAGGTCAGTAGTCTAAAAAGCTCTAAACAAGAACACTTGGGGGTAGAATTCAAAAGACCATCCCGCAACACATCCAACAAGGCTGTCCAAATTTGACCTCTTTTGTATAAATTGTAATACTCTAACCTAACCGCTTCATTTGACAGGCCATCGAGCGCAAGGTCGCATTTTTGGGCAACTCACCAGCAGGCTCCAGGGAATCAACCTTTCAGTTTTGGGATTTCGCATTCTTAATTAATTGCCTAACACGTAAATAGACCTGACTTCGACAGCACCCTTGCAGCCCCTTGCATGTGGAATTGGCCCGTGCATGGCAACCCGACTCTGAGACCGATCCTTCGTCTCTGTCCGGCTTGTCGGTCGCCATGCGGATGCTTTAAGCCCAAAAGGCAGCTGCAAGCACAACTGCGCACAAAGCATCGCACCTTCTCCAGCCGTCCCTCCCCCGCTTGCTGCGCCTAGCATGCCTTTCCCGCAACCCAACACCCAAACGTCTCCAGTGCTGACTGGCTGCCAGCGCAGCTTCTTGACCTCAGGGGCTGACACTTAGCCATCGGAAGTGCATCTGCCTACTCCAAATCACCTGGGTAATCTGGGGCGGTTGCTTGATGTCTCAAGGAGGAGTTCAACCGGCCGCTAGAACAAGATCCCAAAACCGCCAAGTCAAACCTTTCTGCTGCAAAAGGCATAAAGAAGTGTTGCCGTTGCCGAGCAGGTGCTATGCTGGCGCAGTGGCTGACGCACCCATCACTTTGAGCACATGTGTAAGGCACAAGCTCCAGTTGAACTGCGGGGTGGTTGCCTCAGCTGGTCCCTTGCAAAGCTAGCAAAGGGGGCAAGCATGCATGCCACAAGACATGAGGTGTGCCAAAAAGCCATCACACCAAGCAAACAAGAGCAGGCGGGCAAGCAAACATGCCGCAACTTGTACAAGCATCAGCACAAGCCGTCTAAGCTAAACAATGTTGTCGAACCTGACCAATCGATACTAAAGTGCCTGCGTGAGCCTTTAACGCGTCGCCAAATGCATCAGGACATAACGGGAGCGCCGTCTTGCGAACCCACATCGAAACAGTGCGGTGGCTACTTACTGGATTTCAAAGAAGCAAGCCGCAAGGGTGGCTGTCCCATGCCCTCAACGTCCCAAATGTCCGAAACAAACGAAAAGGCACGCACGCGCGCACACGCATACACACCTAAACGTTTCTCGTTGAGGCCCTCTTGGCTCCACAGCGCCTTGCTGGCACGTTTTCAGCGATAGCCCGTTGAATGTGAGGCATATGCCCCAGAAAGGGTTCCTAGGTTTCCAACTTCAAACACCAAATGAGATACCAAGTCAAGGAGGAGCCATGCCGGGCCATGCCAGTATAGGGAACCCTGCGAGGAAAACAAAGGGAACCTGGTCCGGCTCCGTCTCTGAGTACGGAGTTGTGGATGGAAAGAGGTGGCAGCACGGCATGCGGCTCAAACACACACACAGACACAGACGCACACACAGACACACAAACACACAGACACACAGACACACAGACACACACACACAGACACAGACGCACACAAAGACACACAGACACAGACACAGACACACATACCGACACACACACACAAACACAGAAACACAGAAACACAAAAACACAGAAACACAGAAACACACAGAGACACAGAGACACAGAGACACAGAGACACAGAGACACAGACACAGAGGCGCACAAACACACAAACGCACAAATGCACACACACACGCGCGCACAAACACGCGCAAAACACACAGTTGTACACTTACTTCCAAAACCTACGCACTTACAAACTTGCACATGCGCACACGCTCACACAACCACACACGAGTCATCATGAGTGAGAATGCAAACCTGGAACTAGAGTGGCCTGTCCAAAACCATGTAAATCAAGAGGGGCGGATATGGGCGGATATTCGAACCAATGTCATTCTGTCTGGTTGCCCTTTGGCTGGCTGCCCCCCCAAAGGCGAAAATGACTGCAGTCATGCAGCAGGTCTTCGGCGCCAACCTGGCAACTTGTTGAAACGAGACCCCTAAAAGGGGTCATACGCAAGGGACCCTTATGAAACGGCAGGTAGCATTGGTGTGCGCCACGTGATCCTCTGGTTGAGGAGGAGGACAACTCCACGAAAGGGGAAACAGGGGTCCAGGACCCGGCGGGCTCTGTTGGTCGTTGAACACAAAAGGCAACCACTCAAAACGAGCTTGAACCTATTGAGGGCCTCGTACCTGTGCTTTTATCGTTAAACATGTGGCTTTTTGCCTTTGTTTTGGCTAACATCGCGGGTCGACCGCAAATTTTTGGTTGACAGGGCTCGTAAACTTGCAAATGAAGCAAGTTTAGACCAGCCACACTTTGGGCCTTGAAAAAAGAAACGCGCGGGGCGCCTAAGAATGAACAGTCTCAACTTGGCGCCCCTATTAACTACCATCCAGCCGGTAGTGTTTCTTGCCGAGGCGATTTCAGATGGTTCCCCTGCCCAAAGTGGAGTCAGTTGCCATTCTGACACGAAGCCAATTGTTTGTTTGAAGCAACCGGATAGAGGGCTACGTGGTGACTACATTACCCTCCCGCCAACAAAGCCTAACAAAGCGGCTTCTCTTTTCGACAGGGTGTTCTTTCAACAAGAGCTTTTGGTCCCCCCCCCAAGGCCATCAGACCATGAAGCGCAATGAAGTTGTGATTCACGAGGCTTGCCGCGACCGTGAAACGGGTCAAACATCTTGAACAGGCCATTGGGTGGGGCGAATAGGCCTGAGGCACACATGTGCCAATTGAGCCCTTTGAGGACGCCTTGGGACAAATGCATTGGAGCAAATTGACATCGGAACGCAAAGCAAAGGGAATAACCCAAGCTGACTGGTGACTGATCTAGTCAAAGTGCTGCAAACAGCCAGACTGGCACTGACAAGAAGCAAATCACAACTCTTGAGCTAACACTTCATCCTTCTGAGCACCTTCATCTTCCATGCAAGGCCTTCCACCTGACAAAAATATGGGGTCGCGCCCTTCCGAACTTCCATACGTCATTTCTCTCGTGCCAAAGGCGTGAGGGGCTTTGGGTCCCGGCATGCCATCACTCGAAGCCGGCCTGCTGGAAGCTGCAGCTGGGACCGGCTGACTTCAGTTCCTTGCAGCTCCGAGCACTAGGGGAGGTCCTCGAGAATTTCATGCAGCTCTCTTGGCGCTTGCCCCCAAAGAACAAATATGCTGAACGGTCCATATTGGACCTGAAGATGTAGAATCATTTGCAAACAGATCTCAGACTTAGCCTGGCAAGAAGGGTCGAACATGGACCGCGCATGTAAACTGTCTTTGCCAAGGATCTTTCAGCATCGATCTGCGATAGCTCCTGCGAACCGCCAGCTGGCGGATTAGTGACGCAGTCTGTAAGGCAAGCATTGCAGCCTGGTGACCGGCCTTCCTATGGCTCCCGTCTGAAGTGCTCCCAACGCTTAGCTGTCATAATTGGATCCATCTGATACTCCCATGTTGCAACCCCCGTGGAGCTAGGGTGAAATCAGGTTGCCCCGTCTTTCTGCGACTTCAGTTTGCTCCAATTGACAAGGGACATGTGGAAACAAACCGTGTTAATGGACCCCTCATCCTGATTAACTTACACACCCCTACCTATACATATGCATCTACAGTGTGTACAGTAGAGGGCATGACAGGGCGTGCGCCGTTTCCTTTTTTCAGTGAGCTGAAAACTTTAAAGGGCCCATTGCCATGGCCCCTTTTGGACCCTGGTTTTTGTTGGCCCATGCGCAATTCAACCGAGAGTCCAAAAAAGGTCCCGAGAGTGAAATTTTGCCGAGTCAATCACAAGCGTGCCAGGCTCCTCCTCAACGACCCTCTCGTGGACCTGATCCTCCAGCAACTCTGCCGGCTCTTCAGCTGCAGCTTCCTCTTCCAGCTGAGGAATGCTTGGCGCTCGGTCACTCCATCGCCTGCCAGTCAAGTCCCGCCCGTTGCCGCATTCCGCTTCACACATCGCCATGTCAAACGTCATTCACCCCTCCAGAATGGTTTACCAATGTTCCTTCTTTGGGGCCTTCCCTTTACTCAATTCAAGATTCTTTTTGGGTGATGTTTAAGGGGACACATGGTGAGGGTGCTGGGGGTCTCCATTAAAAAAAGAAAATAAGTTCTATTCACATTCCAAAAGGTCAGCCCCCCACGCCAGATTCCCTGTCAAGAAACCAAGGGCCACCCCCCTCTCCCGATCGGTGGACATGATTCGGCACCCTTCCAATCGTTGCAAGGAAGCGCCTTGGCAAGCTCGGCCTCCGGCCATCCGTGGAGACCTTCGACACAATTGGCGCCATCGGCCCAGCTTCTACCTAGCGCGAGGCAGAATCTGCGGGTTCTTGTTGCGAAGGTACCCTTGAGAGGGTAGCGAAGAAGGATAGGCATGGGGAAACCGCTTCTTTTTTTTTGTAGGGGGGCTCCTTGCTTTGAGGCAAGCTGCGTGCGCTCTCTGAAACAGCTGGCAGGTCCCATGAAATTTGCCTTGGATCCGGAAGTGGTTAGATCCCTCAAAAAACCGGTGAACCCCCCCCCTCAAAGGTCAAATGCCTCTAGAAGCCGTTCACATCCCCCTTAAATCCGGTCATCTCGAAAGTCCCATCCCCTCTCAAAGTCCCCCTCGCAAAGCCGGCCCAACTCCGGTCAAATCCCCTAGAAACCGGTTACAATCCCTTTAAAACCGGTCAAATCCCCCCCTCCAGAAGCCTATCCAATCCCCCCTTAAAAAACCGATCAAACTCCCCTCTACCAGAAACCAGTTCTGTAGCTCTCTGCAGCTCTTGTTCTGGCCCTTGAAGCCATGTGCAAACACGCAGAAATGCACCCACCCTCTACCTTGGAAACCAGCTTACGCAAACACAAGACTTCAAGGCAAACTAAAGCACGGAGTATACCTCAAAGCCAGCCAAAAGCGGACTGGCCGAGGCGGGCAACGCGAAGCGATTCCAATTAATACTTTGTCTGCCCTCCTAGTCAACGTGGAAGCTGACCCCTAAGGGAATGTAGTGTTTCCCCCTGTCAGCCTCGGTGCTTGCAGGAGGGACGGTCATTTGCCCCGGAATCCGGGCATCCGCTACAAACAAGAAATGCAAAAGAGCCATACTCAAAGCTTGGTTCGAGAGAGGTGTATCCAACAAACCCGATGCAGAATGAAACAGGTGGATATCAGCACCTGTTTCTGGTTTGGACCGTCCCTTTACCTTCATCTGCTGACCTGAGGGGAAGTTACCCTCGCAGCTTCGCAGAAGCTATCACCGATATTTCCCCGGGCAGAAACGGGGTGGGGGCATTGGGAATCACCGGGCGAATGGGTGTTGTCGTGAAAAATCGGGAAAGCCTGCAGACTGCCCGTTCGACAAAGCCAAAAAGGGTATCATTGTATCATCAAACAAGTCGCTTAGACAAAGACACCCCCATATAGTTGGTAGTTTCCCTTTGGTTTGCCTTTCAACCATCCACAAACGAACCGCCCAATCTTGACCGCACGGTTTTTGTGAAAGCACCACCATGCCTCCGGCTTCGTGTCCACGCGTGTCAAGGAGGCCCAGTTCACTCTCTTCTGCGGAGGTGTGCCTGCAAAAAGCAAATAGTCAGAGGTTCGGGTGTGAAGTTGCAAAAGCAACGCGAAAGCAAAAGTCAAGAAGAGCTGAACGATGAGCTGAATCTGGCACCATGAGACTCATCAAGGAGATGGGCGCATGCATATCTTTTTCCGGGGAGTGAAGGGGGGTGGGGATCTCTCTCAACAATGATGGACGTGGACCATGCCGACTATGTGCGAATCTTCTTGAAAGGCTGTCAAATGTCCACCTCCATGATTGTTGAACAGCTCACTCCAACCCAGATTTGACACATTGACGAGTTAAATGTCAACTTTCCTTGGTTCGCTTTGCAAGTTGAACATTGTCATAAATCAAGTAGGTCCCCTCAACCCCCCCCCCCACCCCTGCCCCTTCCCTCCCCCCCCCCGCCCCGAAAAAAGAAAAAATACGGGATGAAGGTCGGGCACGGCGTTCCATGCGGCCCGGCCTCGCATCAAGCGGCTCTCCGAGGTGGCTGGGCGATCCTGCGAACGCCGGGGATGACCCGGCGGCTAAAAACTGGGTGTGTGCCCTCCAAGTAGGATATGGAACTGAGGGAGGCGGGAGGAGGGGGGGGCGGTGTATGGTTTGCTTTTGGTGCCACTTTCATGCCCAAAAAGGGCACCATCAAAAAGAGACCCATCCAAATACTGAGATGCAGGATCCTCTTGAACTTCTAAGATAGGACGCAATTGGCCTTGTTCCCAAACCGTTCCACCATGCGAAAGAAGCCGGACAAAACTTAAACAGAACCTCAAGCATCTGAGGGTTGTCGGAATACACCCAAACGGCCACAAAATGCAACAAACAAGGGGGCGAGTTGGGAAATGCCTGTTTAGGTGTGTTGCCTCCAGATCAGCGGTGGCCGGAAGCCGAAAACCCACATTTGCACGCTAAGCACTTGTCCTTGTTGCTGCAAACAAACACGCCGATTTGCTCGCCCGGAAAGACATCACATTCATTTCGCCTTTTTTGGAGCCCTCACGCCGCTAAAAGTAGGGGGGGGAGGAAAGAAAGGTCAGATCCGGATTTGAGTCTCACCCACAAGGGGATCCCTCAATTCCCTTTTGGACCAAAGAGGCAGTTTCATTCGAACTCGGACTGGTCAACTTTCGAAGGGGACATCCAGAAGCATTCCAGCCCAAAGTTTGGCAGCTGGTCTCAAAATAAGGAAGCCCCGGGTCCCGGCTGGTTTCGTGGTTTGCTAGTGGATCCGTTCAAAACTAGCTCACCGGTACACCCTCACAAAAAGAAAGCCGCCAATTTGAATCTGGGCCATGCCGAAACCCAGCGCGGGCCTTGACTGGGCTCTCGACCAGCTGGCGCCGCGGTGCCTGCGTTCGGCCAAACAAGCTTAGCCATGTTTGACATGAGTGGATTGGCACAAAACACTCCCAAGTCGTGTTTAACCTCTGAACTGCTTTTACAAACTTGGGAACTGAAATTCCAGGCGCAGGAGATGTGAACAAATCCTTCTCGGACTTGGTCAATCTCCAGCTGGGATTGGGATCTTACCCAAATGCAAAGACGTAAGACCCTCAACAAATCAAACATTCTAGGATGTCGGCGCCTGTTTCTTACAACATCGGGAAGTTCATCGAAATCCTATTTGGGCTGCCGATTGTTCGCAGTCGGAATGACAAAATAACAAAACAGCTTTTTGCTCCCGAATTCACTTGGGACAGAAAGGGAACCGCCTCCGTGTTTGAACGTGGGAAGCAGACTGCCGAATTCCTCGTGGACTGGTGACATGTCCATCCAGCTCCACCCGTTATCCGCGTCAACGGTTCAGGCCTCTGGGGTCTTCCTGGAGAGGCGGGCTGACTGCACCTGGCAGCTGCTGATGTAAGAGCGGCAAGCGGCTGAGGTTGCCTTGCGCTTCCGCTTGTCACTCCGTCAACAGACATGGAAGTGCACAGCGCAAAACGCCCTCTTGGAAGACGACATTCCTTTGAACGCGAAACTCAGAAACAGGAATGCCTCACCCTGCCTCCGGTGAAGTCGGCATGGCTTTTGCAGCCGGCTGCCAAGCGTCCACTGGCTCCGGTTCAGACGGGGTTGAGGCAGTTGTCAGCCTCTTGAGCTGCGATTCTTGCGCGAGAGCGTCGACGCCCGGCGAAGCAAGCGAAGGGGAGAGCGAAGTCGGTAAAGTCAGGGCTGGTAAAGTCAGGGCAGGAGAGTTCGAATCCGTGGCATGCATTGCCAAAGCCAACGCAGCAGTTGAAATGTGGGCTGATTCGGTCGGTTGGGTTTGCGAGGGATGCTCTAGCGGTGCTGGCACTGGCTCCACTGTCTGCGCTAGATGGACTGGCTGCACTGGTAATGCCTGTACCGGTTTTGGATGTGCTGGCGATGGTTGTGCCAACGCTGGCTGCGCTGGCGCTGGCTGCGCTGTTGACGGCTGTGCTGGTGCTGGATGCGCTGGCGGTGGTTGCGCCAACGCTGGCTGCGCTGGCGCTGGCTGCGCTGCTGATGGCTGTGCTGGTGCTGGCTGGGCCACGGCCGGCTGCATCGGCGATGGCTTCAATGGCCGCGCCTGCGTTGGCTGCGGGCGCGCCAGCACAGGCGCGAGCGATGGTGTTGGCTGCGTGGGCACTTGTGGCTGCGCTGCAGCCGCTGGTCCCAGTTGGTCTTGTGCCTCTGGTCCAGCTGGCAGCTTTGATGCTCGTGCAGCCTCGGGCCCCAGAAATCCAAGACCAAGTCACTAACTCAAGTAATCTTAGCTCTTTTGCGGATGCGCCCAACAAGCTCTCCAAGCTTCCAAACAGTGGGGTCCCGTCCGTTCCTGGGATCCTTCGCGCCAAACAATCGCTCTCCCTATATTTTGCTTGGAGTCCTCAAAAAAAAACAAAAAAACGCACTCTCGAACAGAGCTGGCAGCCAGATCCAAGCCACTGGGGTCGCTGGTTTCGCACTCTGCACTGGCGGCGCTTCCCGGCTTGAAGACTTGGCTGCCTGCGGCATGTTCGACGATATGGACGACTACAACTGCTTGATCTTCATTGGACGGATGTCCAAGCTAGAATGATTCAGTGGCTGGATTCGGATCACTTTTGGGACTGCGCGAATTCTTCATAGATGAAGTTGACATGTTGCCTGCCCTGATCTCTCCCCGGCAAGGCCCAGTAACAGAAAGGCCTTGCACACAATATGTCGGCCTCCCACCTCCCGTCCATCCCCAGAAAGGCAAACGCTGCTTCCTTGCCCTGAGTGCTTTTGTTATGGTTTCCCCGTGAATGTGTGTGTGTGTGTTTGTGCAGCGTGCTCGGCGGTTTGCCTCAAACACATGGAAGGAACTGCTGCCCGCCAGCCCATTGTCGTGAGAGCTTCAAAGAAACATTTGTGTGGTTGGCTCACAGCGATATTGCATCACTTCCTGAGTTGATGGTCCAAACAACTCCAAACTGGTTTTTGCCACTAAACATGCTCTTTCCAAAACAAAATCAATTCCATGAACTCAGGGAGTGAGAAGTTGCAATGGTGAGTTGTGATGCCTTCTTCACGTCTGGGCTTGGGTCAGACTTCCGCCGCCTGGCGCTCGGTAGTTCACTTGGGGACTTGCCGGGCCCCAGACTCTGGCACGGTTTTCTGGTGATTGACTAGCAGGGGAAAAAGGGGTCAATAGTCAGAACAACCATATTAGCTCAGACCGTGAACAAACAAACACTCGCATGACATTGTTGGCCTGTAAAGCTCTGCAATCTCGAGCTCCAGAATTCACATACATGGGAAGCGCGGCTGAAAAAGGCGGCGAACAACTGTGGTAATTACTGATCATGAGATGGCCTGGAAGATAGCAAAATTGCTTCCTTGGGTGATAAATAAGGGGGCTGGCAAAAATCAAACTACCCTTCCGGAGTCCTTTAGGGCTCTTTTGTTTAAACAACATGTGCTATTTTTTAGCACCGAGTCACCCTCCCCGCCCCACTGCCGACCCCCCCCGCCCCCGCGAAACACTAGCAATGAACCCTGGATCAGCTACAGTAGCCTGCTAGCGCTTCCGAGCGAAGAAAGTGCTTGGCGGAAATGTACGCGCCGCCCAACGGAAGATGAGAATTACTCAGAAAGCCACTTGTGCAGCCCATGGTCATGGTTGCCTCAATGCACATCCTCATCATTGTTGGCCAAATGATCTGTAAAAGGGTTGCCAACCCGAAGCAAGTAGGTCGTTTAAGCGTAAAGCAAGGAAACCTGAAGCTCTGTTCCCCAACTCCTCTTTCCAGGCGAGGCCTTTGAAAGGAGGCCCCACTCAGTCAAGACCATGTGGGGAAAAAAAAAAACCAAGTCCAACTCGAGATCAAAGCTGGAGATCAGAAGGCAACGCACACCACTTCTACGAGCCGCCTTTTTGATTCTTGACATGTCGAACACGGGTAACTTCTCCAGGAGGAATCTGTCTGGAAACGGCTTCAATCCCAGGTGTTCAATTGAAGCCCCAATGTCAGAATTTGCAATTCGGATATGTTGCCTACCGGCCCAAAGTGGTGCTTGGTGAAAAGACCATTCTGCCCAGCCCACCCACACACACAAAACAAAAAAACACACACACAACTGTAGAAATATATGTTGCAAACACATGTGATATCACACAACAATATTGTTTGAGACCCAAAAGCCCCCAAACCCACAAGGCGGACAATGCAACTAAACCAGCCACAAGCTATGCGGGCTTCTCCCACAGCACTCAAGAAAATGGCTGGTTTCCATCTCGAACTGCTTCCAAGACAATTTTCCGGGAATCCACGCTATGTTTAGTCCCCCCCTCCTTTGCCCAACCCAGCCTAGCGCTCACCTTGGGCGCTGGTGCCTGAGGGAAGGTGGAGGTTCAAGAGGCCATGGGCCTGGCCATCTTCTGTGGGTTTGATCCTCAATGGTGTTCGCCAAACGGGGTATTGAAAACCCAAGCAACTGCAGCAACTGTTGATGTTCCAATGGGTTACCTTTACCTAACCCTCTGTTGTTTTGTTTGTTGCATGTTCCGTACTTTCAATCCCGGATATCGCAACCTGTGAGCATCTTTTGTGACAAGGTTAAGTGTAGCGCACCTTCAACTCAAGCATTTGTGATGAGACAATCCGGGGAAGTGACGCATGGAGTGCAAAAGCACGCTCGAAGAAACACGTGATTGATTCTATATGATCTCCCTCTCCCTCTCTCCCTCTTCCCTCTGACTATAGAAATCGTGTTGTAACTTTTGCTCAGCTGCCAGTTCTAGAGTTGTTGCAACCCAAGAAGCGTTCCCATCTCCTTATCTTTTGTGTTTAACTCGTTATCCTTTGGACCCCCTCATTCTCCTGCACCTTTGTTCAATATGCGGGGATCCGAGTCATCATTTGTGAGCCTCAAGAAATCCCACAACACAAAGATACACCAAGCCACCATCGGGCATGAGGATCCTGCGGATTGATTGTCACCATCGGGCATGAGGATCCTGCGGATTGATTGTGAACGACGTGGCCTTTGGGCGCCTCCGGTGGCTTGCGTGTTGTGCGTGTGTGTGTGTGTGCCTTTTTTTGTGCGGGGGGGGGGTGTAGGGGGGAACAGGGCACCCCAAAATTGCCGGCGCCTTTCCTTCTGATTTCCCCAAAAATGCAAAACAAAACAAAAGGTTCCCTGTGTTTCACATTTCACCCCCCCCCCCCAAAAAAAAAAAAGGTGCCCCGGCCGCTCCTGTCACCCTGCCTCCGACGCGTGTGGAGATGGCGTGCCCTGGGCCAAGAGGCTCCAAAAAGCGATTGCGTCATCCAGCCACCCGCCCTCTGTCTGGGAATGGTGGACATGGGGAAAAGCAGTTGTTTGGGGGGGGGGGTGCTTGGATTGTTTGTGCTGAGTGACGCCAGGGGGAAGCGGTACATGCATGGCTGGAAATGAATTACAATGTTGAACCTCTCGACTTAGATATATCAACTTTGTTGGAGAGGCCCTCGAGAAATGCAATCTGCATGCCAAAAACCTCACCTTCTCCAGCTTTACCTTGGAGTTCCTCCGCGCTTTCGGCTTTGCCCGGACCTGGCGAATCGGAAAATCGCCGATGCAAGAAAGTGGCGCAGTTTCGAAGCACAGAAGAAACAAGCTCACGCGCACTTGGCCGAGCAGTTGGTATCTGGACCCTCCAACTTCCAACAATATACAACATGGTTATTGCAACCCAAAGTTATGGTTGCTGAACGTTGCCGAACTCCCATTTGTGTTTGTGTGTATTTTCAGGGTTCAGGTCAGCAGCACGTTCCGAAAATGTCCTAGAAAGATTCCGCAAGGGGAGCGTGTCCACACATATGACACGAGTCTTACATCCTTGCTATCCTGAAGGCCCCTTAACAGGGGGCCCAAACCATCGCAAACCTTAGGAAACTCCACGCAGTTCGGGGGGGGGGTCGTCCTCTTAGCAGGGCAACCTTGTATTGGGATGGTTGCTTACAGAGTTTCCTACATTCCCCCTCTAATACCTCTTTCCACCCAAAGAAACTTAGAAATAAACTGGCCAACCACAAGGTGACTGAAAGGAACAATGGTCAAATGACGCTCGGGAAAGGCAAAGTGCTGCGAGTGGCATCCGTTCCATTTCTCCAGGCTTTCCACCGAGGGACTTCAGCTGCCCCAAAACCAACTTTCATATGCTTCATTCCGATAGTGAACCTTGACATGTAAACCAAATCAAACGAGCTGAGCTTTTGCAACTTGTTCATTTGATGGTTTTTTGAGCTTTCCCCGTGGATTTGTGTTAGATTGCTCGGGATAAGTAAGGGCAGTTCATCTCGTGCTCAGCTATAAATCCCGCGCTTCGTGCCTCCAGCTTTGGAGCCTCAGCTCTCGGGTCTGGACTGGGAGCCTTTGCGTAAGGGCGAAAACACAAATGCGACATGAAATCACGGTTTCTGAAGCAAAACGTGAGTGAAAAAGAAGAATGCAAGCACGGCCTGTGCGAAGAAAACTGCGTTGGAGCCACTTGGAGCCACCAAAATGACTGGTGTCCAGGAATGTCCCATTAACCCGAGCCAAACTGGGGTCCCCAGTCGTCATACATGCTGCGATCCGGTTCAGCAAAGGGTCTTGAAGATTGAACATTGAAGCGAGTGATCGACACAGAACAAAGGCTGCCATGAGAAACCTAGAACATGCCAATCAAGTTTCGCTAGTTTTTGGCTCAATTTACTGAGTCAGGCAAGACTTTTTCGACATTGCGGAATATTTGGATTGCTCTGCCCTGCCTAGCCCTTGTTGAACTCCTGCCCGGACGCACTGCAGAATGAAGAGATGAGCATGTTCTCAGGGATCCTTACATTATACACCTGAACATTGCCTTGTAAATGGTGGTTTCGCTGTATTTTGGTGGAAAAAGCCACGTTTCAAATGGGCAAAATGTTTCCTTTAAGGAGCCCTGGTTCTGGAAGACCATATTTAGTACATCCTCGTCATCTTGTCATCTGCGCCTTGTGACACCCGCCAAGTGGCCACAGGAGCACCAGGTGTCTGGCTCGTGCTCACCTGGCGTTGTGCTCAGCTACCATGGAACCCTGCTGCTAAGTTGGCTGTGGCTCAAAAATCCGGTACCAAAATGGAACCCTGGTAAGTGCAAACACGGACCAACACCTGCGTAACCCCTCCTGTTTAATTTTGAGCCACACCCAGTTAAGATGGTATCGGCACAAAGGAAATGCCCACAGTCGCTGGGCTTCCTTCAAAAAAAATGCGACATAGGTGCGCAAAAAGGCACCAGGAAGCAAGTGTTCAGTGCATCTTCACTTTGCAAACTAAGTGTTGGATTTCCTAGAAGTGCCAAGCAACCGGACGTAAGTTTTAGCGTATCTCCCGAATAGACCTGGTTCTTTACATGAATACCGTGCAGGTTACCCGGGAATCAGCTGGAAAATATTGGCAACGCCGACTGCTTGCCTTACCTGCCCAGCGCAGAATCACGTAGTCCTCCAGCTGCTTTTAAGTCCCCTGGGAAAAATAGAACATGTTTCCAGCTTCCCTTTCAACTTGGAAGCAAACAGGCGATAACAAAAACTATTCATTTCAGCAAATGGAAGTAGTCATAAACTGGAGATAAAATCAGCCCAACACAGGGACATATCGATTTAACAATGACAACCAAAGCAAGACACAACAAAGCCCAACGCAGGGAAATAACATTTTAAACAAAGACACGCCACAACAAATCAGAGCAACAAGAGCAAACACGAAAGACATCGAAAGACGCCCACGCGGAACCTCCGGCACTCGCGCCTTGCGGCGCCTGCTTGGCCGCTTCGCCTCACAGGCTTCACGGCTTCACCTCCCTGCCCCCCAGACAGGACTTCATAGCTGCGTGGGGTCTACGGGAAATGGATGGGGCAAGGATTTACGGGCTCCCCTGGAAGGTTGAAGACCAACCCGGTGGGCAAAGCAAACCTCACTTGTTGCTTGCAGTGCTTACCATGGCGAATACGAGGCATGGGCCCAAAGTCACGATTGCTCAAAGATGACACATCACTCTGTGAATGAAGCGTGGAGTTGTCGAACAATGGGCCTTTCAAGGACGGCCCAAGATGGTTCACGAGTTTGACACTGCGTCGAGGTACCGTTTTTTGCACAAAGGCTGAATGTATGAGCTCATGAACCCCTTGCAGAAAACACCGGCTTTTGTGTGACGGTGTAATCAACCGGGGCTCAATGGGAACCGTCCACGGTCATGGGTTCATTTGGAAATGAGTTCGAATTGGGTACCTGTGCACATCATTCGGGGACTTATGTCGCATATGCACTCCCCATGACGAATCCCATTTGTGGAAGGGGGCTCAAACGCTACACCTAGGTATTTACTAATAATACAGAGACCCCTTTTGGCATGGTGACCTGGTGCCTGAAGTGAACCACAAGGAAACCTACCAACAACCACGAGGATTCAGGCACAAGCCCTTCAAAAGGAAGATGGCAACATGATAAAGGGCATCAACAAAAAGCTGTAAGACGACGGTGGGTGTCTTGTCAACAAAATGCAGGTGGGAACAAGCAAAGGACAAGCATTGGCAATGTGTAGGAACTTGGAGTGCACAGGGTGAGGAGCCAAAAAATGAAAACCATTGGAAAACTATGACAACATCGTGGGAACACAATGGGAAGGCCATCAAACCAAGGGAAAAACCTAGGAAACCCAGGGAACTCCAACAACCAGCCTTCTGAAACGGCCCTCGGTGAATGATATGTTTATATGAGTATTGCTCATTTTCTCGAAAGCTGACCAAACAGCTTCTCATCCATGCCATGTGTAACATACGTCGATCTGCACAGGCGTTTCCGAGTGAATCTTGGAAGGGGGAAAAAAACAATTTTCCTGGAACGCAGGCGGCTCATGAGTCATGTGGACCGGGGGAGCTCTCGCAGCAAAAGGTCCGGAAAAGATCTTGAGGCATTTGCTTCACTCCGTCCAATGTCAATCTTGAGGCTCTTGTCTTTGTACTCAAGATTTCGGCCCTGACAATTCCGCGGAGCATTGCAAGAACAAGGCCATTCCCCAGACACAGTTCCGCCGAATTAGCTTCTGTAGGAAAAAGGCAGGGCACTTGAGGACGCCTTCCAGGCCGAGAAATTATCCCACAGGTTCCGATCCGCGCGCCCATCGCCCACGGCCTGGCCAGGGTCTGCATCCGGCCTCAGAGATGTTTCACCAAGACGCCACGCAACGAGCCCCAACACTCCAGAGTCTGACAAACCAGGGGGCTGACCAATACATCCATCCAGAACCCATAGTTACAATGAACCAACCACACTGGATACAGGGGTGCAGGACAACCTCCAGCCACTGACCATGCCCACAGACAGTCGCATGAAGTTGAGCCACACAGTGGACTGTAAATCCATGTCACCATGATCATGTGCAGTTACTCTTTGCAAGCTGTGCTCAAGCATGTTGATGCAAGCAACATGCTCACACATCCCCTGGCGCGACTGTCAAGCAACACATTCCGGAAGGAAATCCAGGAAAGTCTGTGCCTGGATGTGCCTTGCAATAAGCTTAGCACCCCGGGCCCGAAGTCGGTGTTCCTTCGCTTTCCCTTTGAAAGCTGAAGAGGCACCCTGCCTCAAGGAGTGACATATCTTGGCGAGTCTGGCTCCATGCCAAGTGGCGGAAATGACGGCTCCGCTTCCTGGACGCGATTCGCATGCCACTTTGGGGCGAAATGTTGATGGCAACCATATCGTCTTTTGGTACCTCCGGGACATACTTGCATATACTTGTTATCCGTGACCAGTTGGTTTGTAGGGGAAGTTGAACATCTTGTGCTACATAAACTGCCCTGCCACACAACTCTCCCGCATGTTGGAGCTTCGGGTCTGCTTCATCTACAAAATCGCACGTTTCAGTTCGCTTGGGAATGGGCCGCGGCCACACCATTCGGAGGCTGTTTCGGCTCTATCACCTGGGAGCCCGGCAAGCGCTTCTGAGCAACAAGGCTTTCGGATAACTCGCCTACGTCCCACCGAAATGCGGCAAGTCTGAATGAATTCTGATCTGGTCTTTCCATGTCAAGCCGCAAGAGAGGAACCCCCGCAATTAGTCCGGCGGCAACCCTCAGACTGCAAAATATCCAAATTGGGCAGGGGGCAAAAAGGAGACGTGGAATTTCTGTGCAAAGCTCCAAAACCCTTGAAATGGGACCGCTGGCAATACGCCCAACAAGGCAGCAGCGTTGCAGAGGTTGCAAGGTCGGGGCATCCATCAAAAAAGTCCATGGACGCCGTGAGACTTTCGACATCAGAACCCTACGGCAACCATGGAAAGCCAAAAAAAAGGGAACCAGGGAACCCAGGGAACCCAGGGAAAGCCATGGGAACCCAGGGAAAGCCATGGGAACCTAGGGAAAGCCATGGGAACCCAGGGAAAGCCAGGGAAAGCCATGGGAACCCAGGGAAAGCCATGGTAAAGACCAGCAAGCTGGGCGCTCTGGAACTTGCGCTCAACGTGTGGCAACGATGCTTGGCTCAACTTTTTGTGCAACCTGGCAGCACCCCTTCCCGACCGAATTCTTCCTGAATGTGCTACTTCCCCGTGAGCCCATGATTCGGACTACAACCGATGCCTGCAAGCACGGTTCTGGGGTATCCGGGGTACATGGATCTCCGCATCTTTCAAGGTGGTCATTCTCAACAAATGGTATGTCAATTCATCCTTCCATGTTAACTTCTTTGGCAAGCACATCCATTGAAACAAAAAAAAAACAACACATCCCAGACTTAGGTGCGTGATGTCTTGGGCGGACCAAAATTCCTACAGACATTTTACGCGCACGATTGCATAGCAAATCCTTTCCTCAAAAAACACCGTTCCTAATCTTCCTGACGGATTGGTCAACACGAGATTTAGCTGTTTACCAAGCCTGGAACATCTCCAAACAAGCGCTCAGTCCTGCGGCATTCCTCCACTCTTCCATGCCTCAGGGAATTCACAGGGCAACGGACCAATGATTCCGAGCGACTGCAAAAACGGCCCTCGGCCTTTTGCTCAACGAGAGCGATTCCAGCTTCATATCAAAATAGAAGACGGCTGTGCGAAGACAATTGCGACTTGCCCAAGCGCAATGAACCTGTTGGGCATTGCCCAACTCGAGGCATTATAAGACCGGATTGGCGGACAGCAGCGCCTGCGAAGCAAGCGCAGGTGCTGAAGGTCTTGGTTGGAAGAGTGCCATCCGAAAAACACTTCTGATCAGCAAAGCAACATCAAATCGAAGGCACGATTTCTGCCTAAAATGCCCCTCCCCATCAACCAAGCACGATGCCATTCTGGGCCGGCAAAAGCCTGGCAGCTATTCCCGCTACAGCGGCATGTCGCGTTGGCAAGACATAGCGGAAGCAGCAAGGCGTTCAAGTTCCACACGTCCTTCGGCTGGCAGCAAACAAAGGCCATGTCGGTGGCTGGCCGGCAAATGTGTTCTAGTAGGCCTGTTGTATCCTTTTCTTGAAGTCTGAGCTATCTATTCCAAGCATCCTTCAAATGGTACATGAGTGTGCTTAAAAAGGCAAGCTAATACATCTCCAGAGCCATCAGTTTGTTGCCAGAAATTGGCAAATTCCTGCAACGGAAAACGTCGCACGCATCCGTCAAATCACGGGCACGTTGAAAAAAGACCCCATCCGCTTCCGGTCAATCTCTGAGCACAATCTTCCTAGTGGAGTGACTTCGAGTGGATGGGAATTTATCGCCGCAACTAGCATATAGGCCAGTGTGCAACGCAACGCTTTGCGTCCGTGCGCACTCTCAGGCCCAACCGCTGTCCGCGGTATGGAAGCTTCGAAGGCAGCTTTGAATAAAAATGAACCAAGGGAATCTACGCAAAGCCTCTGGAAATTCTGAAATACAGTGCCCACATACTTCACCAAACGTTTCCTTGAAGCAAGTCGAACCCCTGCTGGGCTGGCATGTCTGAAATTAGCAGAACCTCCCTGGAATTGTTCCCATCTGGAACCTTCTCTTCATTCAATTTAAGAAAGTTTTCCAGAACATGCGCACTGGCGAATATCGTTCGGGAACCCTTGCCCGTGCCAGTACGGATATCGTTTTAGGTGCTCAACTTGCTTTCCAACTGTCAGCCACCTAGGTGGCTGCAAGTGAGAACAGCTAAGCAGCAAAAGAACGGCTTTTCCAGCATACTATGCAATATACAAAGCTGCACTGCAAATTAGATACATCCGGAGCGTCACTGCACGGAGACTGGGAGACATGGAGACAAGCGGGAGACATGACCCCAAGTCGGCATATTAATAGAAAGACAAGCAGGCAACGCAACCCCGGAGCCGGCGTCACAGCATGGAGACACAGACAACAAGCGGGAGACACAACCAGCGTCCCAGCATCTGGCATCTGACGGAGAGACTACATCACCTCGCAGCCGGCATCACAGGCAAGACGACCCCGGAGCCGGCGTCACAGACGTCACATCTGACTGCAGAGACTGGGAGAGAGAGACTGGGAGACACAGAAGCGGAGACATGACCCCGGAGCCTGGCGACGTCCCAGCATCTGGCATGAGGAGAGACCGGAAAACTCAGGGAGACAACCGAGCCCGTGAGGACATAGCAGGAGACACAGCAAAAACAAAGCAGCTGAGAGACAAGACAAAGCGGGAGACGCGGCCCTGGAGCCAGCGTCATGGCAGCCGCCGGCGTTACAGGACAAGCGGGCAACACGACCACGGAGCCGGCGTCACATACAAAGCGAGAGAGAGAGAGAGTGTGAGAAAGGGAAAGCAGAGAAACAGAAATCAGAGAACACAAATGACCAGGAATACAAACAAATATAGAAGAATGAAGAGAAAGAGAAAGATAAAGTGAGAAATAGGAAAAGATTGCAGACAGAACGAGGGAAGGAGGGAAGGAGAGAAAGAGAAAGGGAGAAAGGGAGAAAGTGAGAACGGGAGAAAGAGAGAACAAGAGAGAGGAAGAGAAGCAGGAAGGCAACATTAAAGAGAACAAGGAAAAAACAAGAGAAAGGAAGGACGAAGGGAAACAGGAAGCTAAACACACAGGAAGGGAAAGGGCAAAAAAGAAAGGCAAGAAGAAAAAGGGAAGAACGAGAAAAGGGAAGATAAACAGATATGGAGAGAAGGGGGAAGAAGCACACTCCAAAGCCAAAGCATGGTGCTTATATTTGTGAAACTTCCGCCCCCGGACCTGCCAAACT